CACAATGCCTTTTTTAATTTTTTTAATGTGGTGCTGAGAATCGAACCGGGTCCCGCCCATGCTAAGCGAGCGCTCTACTGCTGAGCCACAATCCCAGCCCCAGATTAATTCTTTATTTCAATCCTTCAACAGGACCAGAACACTACTCCTGCTTTGATACCCCCCACCACCACCATTTCCAAGATCAGCCACGGTCTGGGGTGAACAATTGTGGGATGGAGGCTGGGAGTACCTAAAGAAGGATTTCCTGATTACTGAACCAGCTAACTATTGAACACCTGATACACATTCAACCTCCCCACCATGCCATTCTACGCTGGAACCAGGAGTAAGGATTGCCAATAGGTTCAATTACACCACCGCATCTTCATTATGCAGTGCCTCGGTTTCTTCCTCTGTAGCATGGGCCGAAGATGCACAAACAGTCTCCCATAGGAAAGCCAGATGTGCAATTTGGGAGGGAGGGAGGAAGGAAGGGAGGGAGGAAGGGAGGGAGGGAGGGAGGGAGGGAGGGAAATCCTGCAACTTTTGAGTCCCTCCCCAAGAGCACCCAGAATAGAATCGAGCCCAGCACGTACGTGCCCGCGGGCTCTTCGGCCAAGGAGTCGTCGGCCAGGCTCTGGCAGGCCCGCTCGCAGGTCTCCAGTGCCGCGCGGAAGTCTAGGTGTACCACCAGGAGGTCGGCAGCCTCCTCCAGCAGATGCACTGAGGGAGACGCTGCCGGGACCAAGCGCGCGGGCTCGCTGCTCCGCAAGGCGGCCCCGAGCCCCTTAAGAGGGGCTGCAGAGGTCGAGATGTCGCTCTTCATCGCCAGCCTCGGCTCAAAGCCTGTCTCCTCAAACATCAGAAGGACCGCCTCTCCCGAGACTCCGCGATATCCTGGGTCTGCCTGGGAGAGGAGGGGAGAGTCTTCCTTCCCTTCCCCACAACCTGTCCGAAGGTCGATTCTGGAGAAGAGGAAGGGGCAAGACAAAAGCTCGCCAACAGCCTGGCACTCTGAGAACCAGTCTACACGTCAGGTTTGCAGAATTGCTGCAACTATGAAATACCTGGCCTTATTAACTCCGGAGAGCCCTCCCTGCTAACAGAGCCCGGCAGCAGCGGCATGGGGCAGCGAGGGCCGACATCTTTGGCGGTCGTGTGGACACGCGCCTGCTCCGGACTCCGGGACTCTGGGAGTTGTAGTCTCCAGCGCTCGACTGAACCGCCCTCTAGAGACGGGGAAAAGATTGTACTACAACTCCCAGCACGCCACGCGCCAGCTGTCACGGTCCTGGGAGAAAACACCTGCGCCCAGGGGTTGAGAAATCAGGGCCAATGGACTACTAGCAAAACCACAGCAGTCCTGGGAGGTACCCTCGCTAGCCAGTTTAGGCAGAGGCGAAACGGAAGAAATTCCATTAACGGAGGCGGAGCGACCTGCACGCTTCTAACTCTTGAGTTTCTCCTGGGGTGGCAAATAGAACTGCTGGAGGAAGTCTAGGAAAATTACTGAAAGAAAACAGCAAAGCTGGCCGCTTTTTCAGAATATGTTCAGTCTTCCCAAACCTACCTCACAATTCATTCAATGTTTTAAATGGGCCTGACATTATACAACACGCTTTGTGTGCGATCGTTTAATTCTTCCCTCCCCATTTTACAGGTGAGGACATTGGGCCCTATTAAATAATTTACACAACTAGGCACTTTGGGTAGACGGCATGTGTTTAACCACTGTCGGTTCTTCAGAAGCCAAACTGAGTCCATACTTTCTATTTAGGGGATGCAGTCATCACACAAACAAGCTAGGTAAATTCCTTGAACCCTCGTTGCCCACATAATTTAAGTATGTGGTGAAAAACAAAGTCATGCGGTGTGTAATGTAATTTACGATGAAATGCTAAGACCAGAAAAGATATTTGATAAATCGTAGCTATAATAACTATCCAATCTGAATAGTTACACAAATTACATCTATTATTATAGTATGTGTTTCACCCAGGCTTTGCCTAACCTCTCACATTTATACTAGAACCTCTTGGCTTCAGTTTCTCCCGGGTTTTCTACCTTCTGAACGCTCTCCAAAGCGTCCCTAGAATCATTTGCTCCCCAAGCAGAGGGTAAGTGCTTGCTCACATGTATATTTCCTTCCTTTGTCACTGAGTATAGACTTATCCATCTTCTGAGTTTACAGCTCTCTGCAGAAAGGTAATAAGGCAGAAACATCAAGTCCATCAGACTCAGGAAAAAGAAGTGTGGACTCTGTGACCATATAAAATGCCACAAATATAAATATTCCACAAATATTTTCTGAATACATACTAGGTGGCAGGCACTGTTCTAGGCCCTGAGGATCCCACAGTGAACAAAAGAAACAAAAATGTCTCTTTTACTTAGCTTACACCATCATGGAAGAAAAAAAACAAAAAATAAATAAATAAGGTTGGGAATATAGCTCAATGGTAGAGCACTTGACTAACACGTGCAAGAGCCTGGGTTCCATCCCCAGTGAGAGAAAGAAAAAAAGGGAAGAAAGAAGAAAGGGAGGGGAAAAAATAATATCAAATGGTCGTATATGAAAAGGAGAAATAAATGAAATAGAGAGGAGAGAATGGAAGTGATAACAGTGGGGAGGTAAAAAATGGTATCTGCATTTAATTTCATTTTTAATAGTAAATTCAGGGGTGAGGACACAATAGAAAGAAAATATGTCCCTTGTGCTCAACAATAGCCCTATCATTGGAGCCACTATTCATTTTGGAACACTGCCCTAGAACCAACAAATTCTCAGTGTTTTTGTGAGTAGTCCTTCTTCCTCACCAGGCAATATTCATTCCCCCACAGCAAACTCTAGAGAAAAAACAGAGATGCCTAGAAAGTGTGAGTCACTCTAAGACTGAGCATGCCAAAATGTTTAATCAGTTCTGCCTCAGACTTAACATTAAATCATGAAGATTGTAGGTAATAATATAATTAGTAGGCTGGAACTACAAAAACAAACAACAACAAAATCAGCCACACCAAACCAGAACTGTTTCTCAGAACTGAATTCAGAAGTCTGCCATTAAAAAAAAAAAAAGGAAAGCAGAAAGAGCAGCAGAAAATAGACCTGAGTGGACCTTCGCAAGATGAAGCTGGTGCAACCACATCCTGCAGGCATACCACTTTTAAAGGACTGCTGCCCAGAAAAGTCCTTCCTTCATCTCTAGCAAATTTCTTGGTGTTCCAAATTTGTCCAGGAGATGGCAGCACAGCCTTAAAAGAAGCATATTTGCCAGAAACAAATTTAGTGGTGAGTAAGCCAGAATAGAGGTCAAGATATTTAAAGAGGGAATGGGGAGTGCTCAAAATCATACAAAAATAAGATTGTGTTCCATTTGTGTGCTTCACCCAATTTTCAACTAAATATATAGGGCTTCACAGTAGTTTGTATGTAATCATCTGACCTTTGCAGTTTATGCCCACAAATTGCTTTTTCAACACACAACCACGATACACCATCTCCTTTGTATGAGTGTACTCAGAATTTCTAGAGCTAAGACACAAAAATCTTAAAGAGAAGCGAAAGAAATCTATCTGTGGGAGTGTGAATAGGTATTATATATACACCTACCCAGCTAACCTTCTTTCTGACTCAGGGATCATGATGCAACCAACCCATCCTTCTCTCATTTTTTTTATCCTTGGAATAAAACAAGGAATGGAAATAAGAACTGTTTTCCACTATCTATAAGGCCTGGCTCATGTTAATATTTGTATTGTTGAAATTGTTTCATTTGCAGAGCAAATGGGACACCAACATCCAAATTATGATTCATTCCCAGCCCTGTCCAAGCTCTGGAATTTGGTTTTCTTCCTTCTGTTTGGCAAAGTGCTCAGGGCACTTCCTTAGTCTGCAGATGCAGATTTGTTCAACAGGCTCCTTTGGTGATGAAGCCATGTGACCTATAGTCACCTGACTTCTTTGTGCCTTATTCTTCTCATCTGAGGAAACTAACACCAACATCTGTCACATAAGGCAGTGGCAAGGGTCAGAAGAGAGCCTGTGACATCCCACTGAATCCCTTACATTTATGAAATCATTCAGATTAATACAAGGTGTAATGTATGGAGGAAAAATAAGGAGCAGGAAGACTCTTAGTCTACCTTGTTCTGTAATCTTACTTTCTGACCTGGAGTCCAACTCTTGACTCTTCCACATTAAGGTCAGGGATCCCCACACCTGCAGTCAGCCTGAACTATCTTGCTCCCTCCAAAATGGTTCCACACTTCAGACTAATAAACAGCATCCACAGCTGCTCCCTCAAACCTATCCCACCCAGCCAGAGTCCCTCAGTACAGAGACATCTAAAGCAACACACTGCAAGCAACAGATCATGCCAAGTGGGGACCTTTGGTCAGACATAAGCTAAGGAGATAACTGCGGGCAGGGTGGAGAGAATGTTTCCCAGGTTGGACTAGGGACATGATTCCCTGGTTCCAGATCTTTGTCAGCTACATAGCATTTTTATGACTCTTTTTGAAAGCCTGGACTTGGAGTTCAGGGTAAAACTCAATGCTTCCTGTTTTCTCCTCTCCATTATAGACACAGCAGAACTCTGCTTCTATTTCTAAGAAGTAATCATCCTGTAGAGTACTTTACAATAATAATGATAGCTCAATTTATATAGCATGGTATTGGTTAAGTGCCAGGTGCTCTTCTGAATGTTGAACTTTTAACTCATTTTAATTCTCAACAACCCTATGACAAAGATCCTGATATTGTCCTTATTTTGTAGATGAAGAAACTGAGGTACTGAGAGGTTAAGTAACTTGTCCAAGGTCACACAACATGCCCATGGCAAGGAAGGGCTTAAAACCTAATGGGGCATTTTGGCCCCATAGTTTTTCTTCTTACTGGAACATAACACTTACCTTATTTGAGTTGACAGTATACCTGAGAGCAAGGCATTATTGTTATTATTATTATCCCTATTTATTGAAGGAAAACTAAAGCTCAGAAACTCTACCCAAACGCAAAGCACATGATTTCAATGGCAAAGCTGGAATAATAACTGGAGATTTCCTAGCAGATCACATGCCCAGTGACTATTCAATCCCCAGAACTGCAAACAAACAAACAAAAACAAACCAAGACTGGAAAAATATAGCTCAGTGGTAGTGCACTTGCCTAGCACGCTCAAGGGCCTGAGTTCCATCCCCAACACTAAAGAGAGGGAGGGGGAAGGACAGAAGGAAGGAAGGAAGTAAAGAAAGAGAGAAGGCAGGCAGAAAGGGTGACTAAAGAATCATCAGTCACTCCTCTTCACCTACATTAAAGGTGATTGGGGAGACCTTCTAAGGAGACCTTCTCTCACCATCCCAAGAAGATCTGTTTGGCGAAAACTGAACAAATCTTCCTGATTCCAGGCCAAGACTGCTCTTTGGAATAAGTAATGAATACTCTCTAGGGACAGATAATTCAGCCCTAGTTCCATTGTGGAAGGGTGTAAATATGCTCTGTGTTCCCCAGAGTCTTTGCTGTTCTCAGCAACTGACCACTCCTTCCTTCAAACTCCCAACTGTACTTTGCTTTTTTCATGCCTCTCCTATGGGTCCTTCTCAATTTCCACATTTCCTTCTAGTTATTTGATGTCATTCCTCTATTGGACTGTGCCCTTTGGAGGACTGGGATGGGGTCTCACTCATTTCTGCATCCCTGCAAAACAATAGGCAAGCAATGCTCCAGAGGGGGCAGTTTTCCAGAGCTGTTCTGTGCCATTTGGTCTTGACATTCTGGCACCCTTGCTTGAGACCAATGGGAGAAACAGATTGAAACTGAAAACACACATGCCCTAGATGTTCCAGAAGTTCCAGTCTGCTTCTTATCTACGAGTAATTCATAATGTCCTTTCTAGCATATTCTTCCTTATTTCCTTGGCAACAATCTAATAAACCTGTTACTCTGCAAGAATTTTGAAGGTAGAAAGAGCTTTATCACATTAGTCAAGGAAACTGAGACTCCACCCAGCAGCTGCTTCTGAAACAGACTAAGAATGACACCAGATGGAACACTAAAGTGTTAGTAGTAAAGCGAGGAAAATAGATGTCACAGCTTTTTTTTTTTTTTTTTTGTTCCAAGATTGAACCCAGGGTCCTTTAGCCACTAAGCCCCAGCCCCAGCTCCAGCCCCTTTTTTATGTT